CATATATAGATTATTTTTATATATTTTGGATTTCATAAATGCAGAAAATCTTGGAAGAAAATTGAAAGAAAACTATTTAAGCTAAAAATATAATATATAATAATATGAATAAGTTATCATAGTTATAGTAAATAAAAAATACATTTTGAGTCAAAACTGTGAGAACATTGTGTGTTAAAAATATGATAGTAACCAAATATGTGAGAAAAGACACATAATTCAATGAAATAAGCTTATTTTTATTTTTTATTTTACTCCTTAGCTTGTTCTGTCTTTGTATTTTATATTATTATTATTCAAACATACATATTATTATTATTTTATTATTATTATTTTGTCCATCTTGATACAGTCAAATTGTAATAAAAGGAAACATGAAATATGTATCTGTGTTGTTGTTGTTGTTGCTGTTGTTGTTGTTGTTGTTGCTGCTGTTGCTGCTGCTGCTGCTTGCTGTTGTTGTTGCTGCTGTTGTTGTTGTTGTTTGTTGCTGCTGTGCTGTTGTTGTTGTTGTCTGTGTTGTTCTGCTGTTGTTGCTGCTGCTGCTGTTGTTTTGTTGTTGTTGTTGGCTGTTGCTGTGTTGTTGCTGCTGCTCTGTTTGTTGTTGTTGTTGTTGTGCTGTTGTTGTTGTTGTTGTTGTTGTGTTGTTGTTGCTGCTGCTGTTTGTTGTTGCTGTTGTTGTTGCTGTTGTTGCTGTTGCTGCTGCTGTTGTTGTTGTTGTTTGTTGCTGTTGTTGCTGCTGCTGCTTGCTGCTGCTGTTGTTGTTGTTGTTGTTGTTGCTGTTGTTGCTGCTGCTGCTGCTGCTGCTGCTGTTGTTTGTTGTTGCTGCTTGTTGCTGCTGTTGTTGCTGTTGTTGTTTGTTGCCTGTTGTGTTGTTGCTGTTGCTGCTGCTGTTGCTGCTGCTGTGCTGTTTTGTTGTTGTTGCTGCTGTTGCTGCGTGTTGCTGTTGTTGTTGTTTGTTGTTTGCTGTTTGCTGCTGCTGCTGCTGCTGCTGCTGCTGCTGTTGTTGTTGTTGTTGCTGCTGTTGCTGCTGTTGTTGCTGTTGTCTGTTGTTGCTGTTGGTTGTTGCTGTTGCTGCGCGTTGCTGCTGCTGCTGCTGTTTGTTGTTTGTTGTGTGCTGTTGTTGTTGTTGTTGCTGTCACTGAATGTTCCGGGGGAGGATCTGTGTGTAACACCGGTGTGTTTGCGGTGCACGTCTCTTTAAGAGCCTCGTGTTGTTACAGGAAGTGTGAGGGGTGTTTCCAGCTGATCCGGAGCAGAAGGACCACAGTCTCCCTCAGCAGCCCGACAAACACGCTCCTTTCTCGGGTACGCAGCAGAGCCAGCCCGGTTGGCGGTTCCGGTCCACCGTCCGTTAGCTGCCGTGAACCGGGGCCGTCGGTAGCTGTGCCCGGACTGTCATGATCCCAGCTCGGAGATGGCCGTCCTTCCCGGATTTTTATATTTATTATATATATGTATATATATATTATATTATATGTATTATTGTATATATATATAAATGTTATAACACTTATAATATGTGTATGTAGAGTTGCAGCCACAGTGTTTGTGCTCTTTATGTGTCAGTAGTTGATGTAAAGAGACAGACTGTTATTAACTCAGCGGCTCATGAATCAAACGCACCCCTGTCAGCGTTGCTGCTAGGCGGTGGGAGCGAGCAGGATAGTCCCCGCCCGCCCGGCCGGCGGACAGGAAGAGGAGATAAATGAGTCGTTATCCCAATATGTAAAATAAACAACTACTTTCCTGTAATGGATTAAAATATGAATATGGTTTATTTTATTGTCTTTACAGTTTAAACAGCTAACACAGTTACGGCTAACGTTAGCTCTGATTTATGAGCTTTAGGTTTTTTAAAACAATAAATTTAAATCACAGAATATTTGACAGAAAGTCTCAGAAGAGTTTAAGTGTTTCCTATAAGTATATACATATATATATATGTACATATATAACCGTTTATTACCGGTCCGGTGCTTTTATTACACTTTATTCACAACCGTCGGTTGAAACCGGTGTTACAGTGAAATCCGTCACCCGTCAGATTCTGTGACTCCGCCTTCAGAACCAGCCGCGGTAGTTTGAAGACTATTGAGGATTATTATTGTTTAAAAATCATCTTTCAGTGGATAAAAACCATAAAAACTCTCGGTATCACCGCTGGTCTCTGATCAGATCACAGGATCGGACGGGTGACGGAATTCTGCGTAACACCGGTGCTGCACCGCGTCAAACCCCGCCCGCACAGACGGGACCTCGTCGCCGGCGGAACGTAAACGAGTGCACCCTTTGTTTTAAGACAAAGGATGACGTCATTGTCTCACGAGCTCCCAACCGTCACTTTTTTTTTCTGATTTGTGTGATTATTGATCGATTTTAACTCACTAAATCAATCAAATTTAATACTTTTATATTATTTATCAGCTCTTATGTTTTGTCTTTGTTTCTGCCTGTTTTTATATAAATTATTGAATAAATAAATAAAACTATTTAAAATGTTTTTTTTTTAACTAACTTTATGTTTTTGGCAGCAGAAACAACATGAAGGTTTAATATTAATGTAAGAAATTAACTGTTTTTAATAAATTAAAGGACTAACTGTGTAACTTCTTCTGTTAAAGCCTATATTTATTATTTCTGATGATCAAGTTCTAATTATAATACTTTCATACATTATTTAAACCTACAGAACAGTTTAAATAAGTTATGATTAACAGATAAGTTTTGATTAAGTTACAACAATTTGGATTTAGTTATATAATTTTGATTTATGATTCTACAGTAGCCCAGAAAGGACAAACCAAACACTGACTCTAGAAGGAGCCGGGATGTGTTATGAAGTAACTAATTAAAAGATCATATAATGTGTAATTTCTACTGCTCGAAGGTCTCTTAGATAATAATAACAATAACAAAAGTACACAATAACTCAGATTGTTTATTCTTTCTCTCTGACGTGTGAAACAAACTGTTCCCTGAATAAAATGACAGATTTCAGAGTCTGATTGTTGTTGGAAACGTGAGTTAATGTAAGAACACATATGACACAGATCGAGTCGTTTTTAGATATTTTAATGTGGAAATGTTTCATATTAGATCCCATTTAAGTCCCAATAAAGTGCTCTTTGCAGATAAAACCAAAACCAAGCTGAGCAGATTAATTAAATTTAACAGCGAGAGGCAGAAAACAGAGAAGTTACAATAAGTCTCGCTGTTTAATTTCCTTTTGCAGATTGTTTCAGTGCTTAAAGCAAAAACATAAAGTCGTTCTTCTTCCAATACAATCAGAATACGAGTCAGAGTTCACAAAGGTTTGACTCTTTTCAACAGAAAGTCAAAATTATGAAAAACCTCGTCAGAAATTTAACTTTCTAAGTAAAAAATAAAACAACAAAGTATAATTATTATCTCATAATTCTGAGTTACCTCAAGTAGTTTCTTTTTTTGGCTTAAATGGGCTTCCATACAGTGCTCACACAGCTAAGAATCTTAATTTGTATTAGCTTGTTAAATTAAAGTACAGCCAATAAATGATAAATTATAAAAGATTAATAATAATAATAATAA